GAATGAATGAATGAATGAATGAATGAATGAATGAATGAATGAATGAATGAATGAACATTTTAAAAAATAATCAATTAATCAATTAATCAATTTTCAATTATCAATTAATTATTGAATGCATGAATAAATGAATGAATGCATGAATGCATGAATAAATGAATGAATTAATGAATGCATGAATTAAAGAATGAATTAATGAATGAATCAACGTAAAATTAGATTTATAGTTGGATACAGAAATAGAGAAATAAAAATATACACACATAAGTACTCATAACTCACACAGAGCTCTTGAGAGAATGCACCAGGGAACATTTGAGGCTGACGAGAAAGCGAGCAGATCTCTCTATCATGATCGCCTTCTCATTTGCCACGCTGTATTTGCCTGAAGAAATGAAATAAGAAGACAAGTTTTACAGCCCCGACCTGCCCTCACGACAACCTGGTCAAGACGCACACCTATTTAAACAACTCCTTCCCACTACCGCCCCCCCCCCTCCCCTCCGCTTTTTTTTGCGGTTTTTATTTTCGGTATGTGAGGTAGCGTGGTGAAATCAGGCTCTCTTCAAAATAATCAAAGTGAAGAAACTTGCATTTTTCAACAGGTTTGTGTATTTTTATAAAATTTTTGTTTTTTGGCTCAACACCTTTAATGCCCTTTACAAAAGTCATTTCTGTGTGGATTTTTTCTGTAAAACGTTGATTAAAGGCACAAAACTGAAATTTGTCAGTTACCATGGACTCATAAGTTAAGGAAATAACTATTCTTTGGCGGCGATTTTCTAATTAATTTTGCCTCTGAAAACAGGTGACCCCCAACTCCTTCTTTGGGAAATATCTCGACTTGTATTCAAGATAAAATGGATATTTTTTTTCCAAATAAAGAGAAGTGAACAAGCTTTAAGATTATACCAATAACTCTACATGGCCCAAAATTTACGAGAGCTTGATTCCACCACGCTGCCTCACATATGGTACTGACACTGTTTAGAAGAACCAACTGCCTAAAACGACTGCTATCCTCTTTGTCCTAGACTATGGGCGGTCCTCTTGGAAAGGTCCAACTGAGCTTGGTTTTGATTTGTTTTGTTTTGTTTTTTGTTAGGGTTTTGTTTGTTTGTTTATTTGTTTGGTTGTTGTTGTTTTTTGGGGGTTTTTAGGGGAGGGGTGTTTTTTTTTCCTGTAAAGAGCACCATATCGCCACAATGATTGTCAGTTAGTTTTAGGGAAAGTCATGTTTGATTGACAGAAACAACAACACATGCACACACACACACATACACACACACACTCACACACACACACACACACATACACACACACACACACACACACACATACACACACACACACACGCACACACGCAGAGAAAGGAAGACTGGCTGAAAAGAGACAGATACTGTAAGAGAGAGAGAGAGTGAAAGAAAGAAAGAGAGAGAGAGAGAGAGAGAGAGAG